CCCCAAAACCCCAAAACCCCAAAACCCCAAAACCCCAAAACCCCATAGATTTTATTGGCTATTGATTTTCATATTAAAATTTGCAAATAGCTGAAATGGGTAAGAAGGGAAGAAATAAAGAGAGAGGCAATAAGAAAGAGAAAGAAAAGGAGAAAAGAAGAGAAAGACATAAGGAAAGAATGGAGAAAAAGAAGTATAAAAAGAAGAAAGATAAGCAAGACCAACAAAGATACTTAGATGACATGCAAAAGTTCAAAGATGAGCTTATTCAATATGGTCTCCGTATCCTCGAAGTTGGAGGTGATGGAAATTGACTCTTTCGGTCGATCTCTGATCAATTAGAAGGAACCCAATCAAGCCATAGACAGTATCGTCAAGATGCTGTTGATTATATGGTCATGAACAAGGATGATTTTGCTCCTTTCATAGAAGATGATCAAACCTTTGATGATTATATCGATACTATCAGTGAAGATGGCGAATGGGGAGGGAATCTTGAGCTTCAAGCCTTATCAATGAAATACCAATTCAATGCAATTGTTCATCAACTAGATGCCCCTGTATTCGCTCTAGCTAATTTTGATCCGAAAGCTGTTAGAACAATTCACTTGACTTATCATCTAGGTGAACACTACAATTCAGTGAGGCTAATCGGTGAGTATTGCTCTTTCTCATTGGTGGAATTTATCCAATTTAGATGACTATTCAACAAATGAAGTTCCTATGGATATCCCTCTGAATCTTCAAAAAGATCCAGAAAGACTTGCCCAGCACAGAGAGGAAGAAGAAGGTAAGTCTCAATCAGACTATTTCTAGCAAAGCTCAAAGAAAATGGTCGAAAATTCAAACGTAAATACGAGGAGTAACCTTTCTTCATTAATTTCGGTAGGACTAAAATTGAGAAAGAAGAGAAGAGCCAGAAAAATGGTAAAAACAAAAATCGAAAGCAAAATAAAAGTTCATCCCAAGAAGAGCATAAGGTATCTCAATTATCTGACATCCTAGGGTGATGATAAGATGGGAGCGACTCATCCATGAATGATTCAGTACGCTAATACAATCACAGGACTTCCTGAGTTCCACCTCATGAAAGATGCCCTCACAGAAATCTTTGGGGAAGATGGACAAATTGAGTTTGAGAATATAGATGACATGAAGCAGCTCATCATCCAAACATATGCTGACAAGGAGCTAGAATTCATAAATTCTGGCCTCGGCTTTAACTCAGATGGTGAAGATGACAAAGACACTGAAGCTACTAAAGAAACTAATGAAGAAGCTAAAGAAGAGAGCAAGAGTGAATCTGGTTTCACAGCTGAAGAAATTACTAAACATTTAAGTAAGCTGAATTTAGTTCTGACCTAAATAATTTTAGAAAAAGGTGAAATTTATACAGAGGAAGGTGAATGGAGGAGACCACCTAATAAAAACAAAAAGTGATACTGTAAATCAGGTAGAAAGTATAAGATGTGTTGCATGGCTTCGGATAATTCCAGAATTGACCATATCGTCAACGGAAAGGACAGAAAGAAGCAGTATATGAAGATTGAAGATGCTGAAGCTAAAGATTTCTTGGCCTCTCTAGTTACAATTTAGTTTCAATAATCTAGTATAACCTCGGGGTTTTGGGGTTTTGGGGTTTTGGGGTTTTGGGG